GGAGCCAGGGTGGCGGGGTGTGTCCGGCGCCTGTGTGCGGTAAGGGGGGGAGCCACAAACAGGAGGGGCCCCCCCAACACAAAAAAAAAAAAAAAAAAAAAAAAAAGTACCTGAACAGGGAATTCCCTGGAGGTCCAGTGGTTAGGACTCCACGCTCTCACTGCCAAGGGCCCGGGTTTAATCCCTCGTCAGGGAACTAAGATCCCACAAGCTGCGCGGCGTGGCCAAAACAAGCTAGGGCTCTATTAGTTCCTGGTCATCCACTCATCAGTTTTTCCACTCAACCATTACTGATCACCTACTGTGTGCCTGGCACTGTGCTCGTGCTAAGTTTACCGAGATGTGCAAGACCCAGTGCTGGCCTTTCCCTTCAAGGATCCCCCAGTCTGGTGTGAAGCAGTCACCTGAACAGTTAGGATACAATTTGGCCTGATGGAGGTGCCCACAAGGGATATAGGAAAGGGGGAACCAGGTTCTGCTCAGGCGGGGTCAGAAAGCGCTTTCTGGGAGACATGAGTCTAAGGGTCCTGAAGGGTAACTAGGAGTTAGCAAAGGCAGGGTTGGTGAGGGCATGCTGGGCAGAGGGGCAGCAGGAGCCAGCTGGTGGAGGTGAGAAGCGACAGGCAGTTTGGTGTTGCTGGAGCCTTGATGAGAGGCAGTGGGCACCAGCAGAGGCTGGAGAGGGGCTCAAGGGCCTATGACAGAGGTTTGATGTCTTTACCTGGGGGTGGGAGTGGGACTGGGGCAGATTTGGGTGGTTAAGCAGAGAATTGACATGGTTAGATTTTAGCTAAATAGCTCTGCCTGCTGTGTGGACTGTGGGTGGGGGCAGAATCTGTCTTTTTTTGGGGGGGGGCGTGTTGTGCTGCGTGGCTTGCAGGATCTTAGTTCCCCGAACTGGGCCCTTGGCAGTAAAAACATGGAGTCCTAACCACTGGACTGCCAAGGAATTCCCAGAATCTCTTTTCACAAGATCTCTTGGGATTGGGCTGAATGCCCAGCCCAGGGCCTGCAGGTGTACAAGATGGCCTTGGGAATAATCATCCCAGCCCAGTCTTAGTGAGTGCTGCCACAAGCCGGGCAGTGTTCTATGTGCTCCAAGTAGAGTAACTACTTCACCCTCCCGAGAACCCTGTGATGAGGATGGTATTCTTATCACCCCCCACTATGCCCACGAGGTGACTGGGCACAGAGAGGTTAACTTATGTGTCCCAGCTGCACATTCCAGTGCAGGCTGCCTGGCTCCAGGATCAGCCTGTAATCACTCTCTATCTTGCCTCCTCCGGGTCCACTGTCCTCTGGAAGGCTCTCACAGAGGCAGAATATTGTATTGGCATCCTGCTTCAAGTTTATGAAATCTTTCACATGAATGACCTCATTCCACCATGCAACAGTAGCTTCTGTGAGTAGGTATTATTACTCATAGCTAAGAAAACCAACCAAAGTGATTTGTTAAAGGTTAGGATTTAGGTGGCAGAGACCCAGACGTGTGTCTTCTGACCCCGAGTCTAGTGTCGGGTCTCACGTTCATTGTCAGTTGATGCCGCGGTCAGCCTCCCGGTCAGCCTCCCGGTCAACATGCCATGTGGTTCAAAGGCCAGGGCATTTTCCACTCCTACCCAACTGTCTCCTGTCGAGGAAAATGTTTTTCTGAACTGGGTAAGAGAGTCATAGAGAAGTGTGTTGCTGGCATCAATTCCCTCTGATTGGGCAATAGCTTCCGCCATCTGGACCAGGTGACGTCAGCCGTCTGGATTTCCGCCAGTGTTCTCCCACCCAGGAAACTGACTTCCGGCCAGGCTCCCAGCCGTCTCTGGCCTCCTCGAAAGGCAGACCTTTCAGTTTGCAAGGTGAGAGACTTTAAATTAGATCTCAGGGAGGGTTTTGCTATAGGGAAGGAGGTAAAAATGGGGAAGAGGAGTTCAGAGGACACTGGCTAGGAATGAGCAGGAGCCCCTCTGTGTGGGGTCTGGGGTCTTTCTTGGAGCAAGATGGGGAGGATCCAGGGCTACGACTGGGAGATTTTTTTTGCTTCTTTTTTTGTTAGAGTCACTAGTTTGTTGTAGTTTTTAGATTTCACATGTGATATCGTACAGTATTTGTCTTTCTCTGTCTGACTTATTTCACTTAGCATAATGCCCTCCAAGTCCATCCATGTTGCTGTAAATGGCAAAATTTCACTCTTTTTATGCCTGAGTAATATTCCATTGCATATATATACCATATCTTCTTTATCCATTCATCTGTTGATGGACACTTAGGTTGCTTCCATATCTTGGCATCTTTTCACTTTCTTTCTTTCTTTTTTTAAATATTTACTTGTTTATTTATTTATTTATTTGGCTATGTTGCAGCATGCGGGATCTTTGCTGCCATGTGTGGGATCTTCATTGCAGCATGCGGGATCTTTAGTTGTGGCATGTGGGATCTTTAGTTGTGGCATGCAGGATCTAGGTCCCTGACCAGGGATTGAACCTGGGCCCCCTGAAATGGGACCATGGAGTCTCAACCACTGGACCACCAGGGAGGTCCCTCTTTTCACTTTCTTGATGGTATCCTTCGAAGCACAAAAGTTTTAAATTTTGATGAAGTCCAATTTATCTATTTTTTCTTTTGTTACTTGTGCATTTGGTTTCATAGCCAAGAAACCATTACCTAATCCACAGTCACAAAGATTTGAGCCTGTTTTCTTCCAGGAACTTAATAGATTTGGTTTCACATGTAGGTCTTTCACCCATTCTGAGTTAATTTTCTTATATGGTGTGAGATAGGGATCCAACTTCATTCTTTTGCATGTGGATATCCAGTTGTCCCAGCATTAGTATGCCTTTTGTGTTTTGTTTTGTTTTGTTTGGCCGAGCTGCGTGGCTTGTGGGATCTTAATTCCCTGACCAGGGATTGAATCTGCCCTCGGCAGTGAGAGCACAGAGTCCTAACCACTGGACAGCCAGGGAATTCCCACTATGCCTTTTTACAGTTGAATAAATTGCAAGGTCCGTGAGAAAAAGGACAGTGCCTGGTTTTGGCCACCATTGTCTCCTCAGGATTCACTTAACCCCATACCTGATACATACAAGATGCTCAATAAATAATAGGCTGAGTGAATAAATATATGAGTGATGGAATCTCAGGGAGGTTAAATAACTTGTATAGGTCAGTCAGCTGGAAAGTGGCCACACATTGTTCAAACCCAAGGCTTTTCATTCATTTCAAATGAAGCGATTTCGTGTGTCTAAATTTCTGAAACTTTCTCAGGTTACCAAAAGCTCTTTATCACAAGAAACCAGATTTTCTCAAAGTTTCCTTTGCCGCCTCTCCCTGTAGCATTCCAATAATTCCACTGTTTGTGAGCAGCCAAACTTCTCAAATCTAGCAAGCCTCATGTCCCTTCTGCCTCTGCCTCCCTTCCCCCAACCACAGAACCAAAGACTCCACTTCCTTCTACAGTCGTTTTTCTAGATATCTAACTACAGCCTCCTGCTGCACAATGTTAACATAAATCCTCATGAGTGATTGGTTAACTGTATATTATGGGACCTGGACCTGCTTTGATGTGGGAGGCATGTTGGGTGAGCGGGAAGCTTTGAGTGCTCTGGACTGTGTGAAGCACAGCCTTAGGGAAGCCCAGTGTCCTTTCTCTGGTCCTGACATGGCGCCCCCTTTGTGGAATGCGGTTTCTGATTCTGGGTGTAGCTTGCCGTCTTAGAGGAGAATGAAGCCAGGCAGCATAAGCACCAGTTATGGAACATTTAGATGGACTCACATCTTTTGGGATGGGGACAAGGGAGAGCCCAAAAGAGAGAGAAAGAGCTGTGCCCTTCAAAGTTTCCGAAGTTTAGCTCTAAACTGGGATGAGAGTTGGGTTGAATTACCAGCCCCCACCCTGACAGTGCTGAGTTTGAGCTCCCCCTGTTGGACCCTTTGAAAAATAATTATTTGAACTAGTACAGGAAAAATTAAGACAAAGATGGGAGGGGCAAAAGAAAGAACATTTATCGAGACTTGCTATATATTAAGCATTTTACTTAGGCATTTCATTTCACCCTCAAAGCAATCCTACAGGTAGGTTTTATCAATCCTAATTTGCAGAGTTGGAAGCTGAAACTTGCCCAACGTCACACAAGGATTCGAACCCAGAGGTCTCTTGAATCCCTAAAGTCATACTCTATCCAGGGCTCTGAGCCAAGGGAGCCAGTGGGTAGAAATGGCACGTGAGGGCCCCTCTCTGCCTTCATTTCACTTTGTCAGGACATCTTAGGGGCCCAGAGACGCTCTGGGAATCCTCCTGAATTGGTGGTATGCTGGAGCCAGCTCAGACTGGCTAGTGAGAGTAATTGTTAAATATTTAGGAATTTTCCAAGCTGGTTGTGAAACTGTTGGTAGTTGGAAATCAGTCATGGTAGGAGGAAGCGTTTACACTGTGGAAACTGGTAACCCCTACAAATCAGGGATGTTCCCCCTACCCCAAGCCCGCCATACAGATTTACCAGCACACTACTGTAACCGACCTCTCCTCTCGCTAACAGAGCATTAACTTTGAGGCCCAGACTGAGGGCTGAGGACAAAAGGGTCTACCCTCAGTGGTCATAAATTTCAGCGGCAGACTGAGGAAGGATTGAGGATGGGTTGGGAAATGAGGAAGTGTGGGCTCATGGGAGAGAGAAATGAGGCTGTAGAATATTGGTTATTCACATGTGGGCAAAGTACCACTTTTTTTTTTAACTGAAACTGTAACTTTACTTTTATTTATTTATTTTTTATTCATTATACTTTTAAAAAATGAAGTATAATTGACTTACAACATGAAATTAATTTCAGGTGAACCAACATAGGGATTCAATATTTTTTTTTTTTTTGCGGTACACGGGCCTCTCACTGTTGTGGCCTCTCCCATTATGGAGCAAAGACTCCGGATGCGCAGGCTCAGTGGCCATGGCTCACGGGTCCAGCCGCTCCGCAGCATGTGGGATCCCTCCGGATCGGGGCACAAACCCGCGTCCCCTGCATCGGCAGGCGGACTGTCAACCACTGCGCCACCAGGGAAGCCCGGGATTCAATATTTTTATACATTACAAAATAATCACCACAAAGTACCACTGTTTATAGTCACATGGATTTGGGGGGAAGGGTTGTAGTTTGTCATTAAGAGTCGTTTTCTTTCAGAGCAGTGGAAGAGGAGATGTATTTCATCCAGAAACTAGAAAAGTGCCCTGGATTGAGAGTGGGGGGCTCTACACAACACAGAGGAGGGGAGATCTCTTCTGTGGAAGGAAAGATGACTTTGAGCCTTGAGATGAGGCCTTGGGTAGGATGCAATTGATGGACTATATTCCTGACCATGAGACTACAGTGGGATCATTTTGCCTGCCCAGCAGTGACCTTCCTCTGGCAGGCCCCCCAGATTACCAGGGTTACAGAGATCTGTGATGAGCAGAATATCACTAAGCACCAGGGAACTGTATCTCCAGCGCCCGCTCTGGGTGCTTTGGGCTTCTATTTGAGGACTCTCTCTTTGTGAGGGCTGGAGTCAGGGGACTTCCTCAGCTGGTTCAGATGCTGCAAAGAAACAGCCACCTCCTGTAATAAGATGAGGTACATCCTCTGAGGGGAGGCAGTGGAAGGGAGCATCTCCATAGGGAGAGGAAGGGACTTCCCAGCCCTGCCACATCCCAGAGGTCCCCTTGTCCCTGTCCCTTTATATGCTTATGAACAACCACAGCTGAAGTCATCAGCACTGCAGAGAACTGAAACAATTAAATAGGACTCCCCTAAAGGCTTAGAGTTAAGTAAGAGAAGGGAAAGCAAAGAACTGAGCAGAAGGTAACCCGATAATCTGGTTGACAAGACAGATGCAGCTGATTTATCTTCAGTCCACAGCCGATGGCAGGGATTGCTCCTGACTTGCTGCCTCCCTCTCAAAGACATTCCCTGAGTCTTGAGAGAAACATGGAAGTTCCCACCCCTGCCTGCTCAAGTCTCCCTTTCTGCGTTCCACGTCCCACCCTGAGGCCCCCCTCACCTATGCCTGCCTGATGCCAGAATGTCTATCTCTTTTAGAGACGACGTTACTGCCAGGTGTGTGACCTGATCCTACAGAGCACAGAAAGCACGGTCTCCAGGTAATCCCCACATAGCCGGGGTGGAGTGAGGGTGTAGTCATTCCTTCCAGGTGTTGTTGACTCTCTTGAGGTCCAACCCAAGACTAGAGATTGTGGTCAAAGGGACACCCAGATTGGATGGGTGTGCACGGGGCAAGAGCTGTGAGACTGATGTGACAGTGAGGATTAATTAGTCCTTTCTGCAGGAAAGACTTCCACCTGCTGGTACAGCTCCCAGGCAAGGCGGGCCTGGGCAGACCTCACTGGCAAGGTGGACACCGGAAAGGATGTGCATTGGGAGGGAGACTACTAGTTTCTGTTAAGGAGAGGTTGGCACCCATGGAAACTGACAGTCAGCTAACTATTGGCTGGTGCACCACCTTCCCTAACCTCTGAGAGAGCCTGCTCCCACCGCTTGTTCACATCCGTTCATTCAACAAATATTTACTAAGTTTCTCTTAGGTGCCCGGTGCTACTGGATAGAGCAGGAACAGGACAGCCATCTCGCCCCCATGGAGGTCACAGGACAGAGGGATGAAAGACAGTAAACAAGTAATTAAAGGGAGACAGGTGTTATGAAGGAAAAGTCCAGGAAAAGTATAATGAGGTACCTAATTAAGTCTGGGGCGACAAGGGATGCCTACTGAAGAGGATATCATTTAAGATATACCTGAGGAATTAGTAGGACTGAAAATGGAAGCTCCATGAGGGCAGGGACCATGCCTGGCTTGTGTACTAGTGCCCGTGTCTGGCATGGAATAGGCATGGATAGCTTTGGTTGAGAGGATGAAGGAATCTAACTGAATAAAGGGAGTTTGTGTGTGTGTGTGTGTGTGTGTGTGTGTGTGTGTGTCTATGTGTAGTTAACCCTGCTTTAGCTCAGCTTAGTAAACAGCTTTTATAAAACTGCTGACGCTCTGTCTGATTAATGATAGGTCAGAGAGGGATACTAAGGAGATGTGCACCATTAGAGGCAACTTAGTAATAGAACAAGCCCTGACATAGATTCCTTGCCACTTGAGTTTGAACCCTGAGTCTACCACTTACTAGCTATGACAACATGAGCTAGTTGCCCGCCACTCTGGTGCCTTGTTTTATGTAAGTTCTATCTTCCAGCATTGTGAGGATAAAAGACAATGTATATGAATTGGAACGTTATAGTATATTATAACATTAATACTATATAACTGTTACTATAGTATAACTATTATAGATATTATACTATAGATCATATATAGTATATTATATATTTTATAGTATATATTTTATATATAGTATGGTATAATGACAACTATTAACATAATTAATAACTATAATACTTGGTAGTCACTGTTATTATTTATATATACCAAGCTCATATCCAAAGGGACTTTGACAGTTATGAGACATAAACATGATAAATCTGGATATCGTTAAACAAGAGTAAAATGATAAATCAAGTAGGAAGGGAAGGGAGGAGGGGTATGCAGTGCTAGATAATATCTGTGTAGAAAGAGGATGAGCCCTTGGAAGATAAATCAGAAGCCTTTCCTACTGGGGAGGGGCTGCTACGCTAGGCATGCTGGCTGCTTCACCAACCTCCCTCCCCACAAGACAATCTTGTTTCAGGGAGTTCAGAATTTTTCAACCTCCAAGGCACATTTGTAGCAAGTTTTGGGTGAGGGATACTGAAATGAAAGGGAGATTGATGCGTATTCAGCCATTGGCCATGCTTCCAGAAAGGAGAGCAGACCCTTTTGGCCTTTACAGAGATCTTTGTGTAGCTCCAAATTAGATGATACATAAGTACTTTATCCAGATTTTCTGGGACTTTCTTAATCATATTTACGTGGAGAGGCTGCTGCTTCCTGCTATATTCTCTTACCACAAGTTAACCACTGTTCTTACTTTCACTTTGTATCTTACTCTGTGAGAAATTTTTGAGCTGCCTGAAAACATTTCCTGAAATGGTTTCTCAAGTCTCTTTTCAAAAAGCTGCATTTATTGTGGATTAAGAAAGCTGAACTGCCATCAAGATCAAAACACCCACCTTTAATTTACCACAAATTACAATTCCTAAAAACCATTACTTTCCCACAACTCTTCACATTTTCATTGCGGCCATCACCAGTGTTAATGACTGGATTTTTCTTGCGGGGTGGCGGGGAGGCAATTGATGCAAAGAAACAAAGTTTTTTGTTTTGTTTTTGTTTTTCTATTTTGTTTGTTTGGTTTTTGGCCGCACCTCGCAGCATGTGGGATCTTAGTTCCCCAGCCAGGGATTGAACCCGGGTCCCTGGCAGTGAGAGCGCCAAGTCCTAACCACTGGACTGCCAGGGAATTCCCAGAAACCGAGTTTTTAGAACAGTTTTTTTTCTGGTAGGTTTCTGCCTACTCGACCGCTTGCTGAGAAACACAAAGCTGCTTTGGCTGGGTGGTCAGCTCTCATCTCCCACCCCCAGCTGGGCAGCACCATTCTTGCCTGTGCCTCAGCAAAACTGTGTGTTCCCACACATCAGGGGTCTTCACCGACAACTGAAGCAGCCGGAATGTCAGATTTGCAGATGCCACATGTTTACTGTGCCGAATATCCATATCGAGGAAACACAAACAAGTAATAAAGCCAAGTGCTGCATTATTGCTTCATTGATTCACTGAAATAATTCTAGACATGATTAGTTGTATTATAGCTACAGAGTTAAGCCCTATTGTTAATTATGTTTTGGGGGGACAACTTAATAGGAACACAATTCAAATGTTGCTCCTTCACTGAGGACAGACAGAACCCATGCAACATAGTGGGCATCTTTGCCTCTTGTGTAAATTCCTCTCCCTTTTCTGTCATTATCATTATGTCATTATTGAATCTTCAGGGCATGACCCTTGTTAGGAAATGATGGAAAAAAAGGCAATGGCTCTATAATCACCGATTACATTGTGACTTCTTGCATGTAAATGCACCCAACTTTCGGTCTCATTTACTTATGATAAAACTGTAAGAGGTCCAACAGCCTTTGTTCAGCTGGATTTCCTGGAAAAGGATCCAAAATAGTGGATGGCCAGATGACTCGCTGTGAAGGGAGCAATGGCTTTCCATTGCTTACGTCAAAGACAAAGCCCTGACTGGAAGAGCTTGGCATTTTTTCGACATTTTTTGCAAAGATGACAAATTTCTTTAGATAGGCCTCTGTTTAAACATTGCATGGAAGAAGCTTTGTTGATTGTGTCATGGAGGTCTTTCGCCCTCCAGTGACCTCAGACCCCCCAAGTTGAACTGAGACTGCCCCTTCAGCATCTTTGCTACACGTATGAAACTGCAGCTATTCCATATAAATGCCAGTTGTTGAAATAGGAAATAGGCAAGAGATGTATGTGTTCCTGAGAAGAGGGAGTGAGGTTGCCCTTGAGAGCAGGAGGTTGAGAGCATTACCTAGTAGGTTTTTGAGCATATGAAAAGGGATGATGTATGAAAAGGACCTAGCCCAGAGTTGCCGTATGATCCAGCAATCCCACTGCTGGCCATATATCCAGACAAAACTATAATTTGCAAACATACATGCACGCTAGTGTTCACAGTGGCACTATTTACAATAGCCAAGACATGGAAACAACCTAAATGTCCATCGACAGAGGAATGGATAAAGACGATGTGGTATATGTACACAATGGAATATTACTCAGCCGTAAGAAAGAATGAAATAATGCCATTTGCAGTAACATGGATGAACCTAGAGATTATCATACTAAGCAAAGTGAGTCAGAAAGAGAAAGACAAAAACCATATGATATCACTTATATTTGGAATCTAAAATATGACACAAATGACTATCTACGAGACAGAAACAGACTCACAGATATAGAGAACAGACTTGTGGTTGCCAGGGGTTGGGGGGAGGGAGAGGGAAGGATTGGGAGTTTGGGATTAGCAGAAGCAAACTATTATATATAGGATGGATAAACAACAAGGTTCTACTGTATAGCACAAGGAACTATATTCAATATCCTGTGATAAACCAGAATGGAAAAGAATATGAAAAAGAATATATATATATTCAGTTGTATATATATCACTGAATCACATTGCTGTACAGAAGAAATTAACACAAGATTATAAATCAACTATACTTCAATAAAATTTTTTAAAAAAGAGAAAAGGACCTAGCCCAGCACATGGCAGGTATTAAGAACTCAATAAATATAAAATTATTATTATCTACTTAGCAGTTATAGCACTGTTGGCTTCATGTGTCAGCAACACTTCCTGACTTGTTCATTTCTTGCCCTTCTTGGGGTCCTTTTGTTTATCTTAAAAGTCCTTCTCTCCCTTGAAATAATGATTGTCCTCTCCACATCGCATCTAGGGTTAAAGAGCTCGGAGCTGAAGGACCTCAAGTGTAGGTGTAGTAATAGATAGGGATAATGGCTAATTCCCAGGTCTTTTGACTTAAGAACATTCAGGCCCTGCGGACAGGGTTTACCTTTTTCGAAATGGAATCCCGTACTGCATAGTTTCCAGTTACTCCCGTCCGTGGTGTGGCTGGTGGTGGAATCTGATGGAGCATCACAACCACCTCCCTTTCCAAATTGCAGTCCCAGTCGGGATCAGGGACATCAACTCACTGCACACAAGCAGAACTCGTTCATTTGGCACATCCTGAATGAGGCCAAAAGCTGTGCTCCAGATGGGCAAGAGCCTGAATGAGAAGCACCTCAAGAAAATCGCCTGCCTGGAGCCTCATTCTGAGTAGTTGAATGTTCTATCCTCTGCGGTGGGTTGGCCTGGGAGCAGGGGAGTCTTCGGGGCTGGGAGAGAATGGGAGAGGTGGCCTTGTTCGTTAGACTCTTCTTCTGACACATAAACAGCCAATTGGAGGAGTTGTCCCAACCCCGTGGTTCTGAGCTCTGAAGTGGTTTTTACTTATAATAGCAGCAATGCCCAGGCTCATGCCAGTGGGAAAATAGCCTGGAATCTAGGAGCCTCAGATTTTTTTTTTCAGATTCCCTCAAATGTCTCATATCCTTTTTATGAGTTTACTTTTTCTGAATCAGGATTAAAATAAAGTCCATACATTATATTGGTCGATATTTTTTCTTATGTTTCTTTTAACATGTAGGTTCTCTTTCCAATTCCACTTTTTTTTCCCCCTTGAAATGTATTTGTTGAGGAAACTGTGTGTGCGCATGTGTGTAGGACGTGGTTTCCTGTAGAGTTTCCCACAGTCTGGTTTTGGTTGATTATATGCTTGAGGTACTATGTAACACTCTCCTCTGTCCAACGAATTCCCTGTAAATTGGTAATTTCATTGGTAATTTCCTGGTTCAGTGTTTATATTTGCAGGACTCCTTCTCAGAGAGTGCTGTGAACTTCCAACAGAATGTGCATAATGTCTGCTTGTCTCTCTTTTGGTGATGTTATCAGTCCTTAATCATTATTGACTAATCCATGATTTCATTAGGGGTTGCAAAATGGTGATATTGAAATTCTATCATTCTGCTCATTTACTACTGGATTACTTCTGTAAGAGAAATTCCCTCATCAACCACATGGTCAGGTATGGTTCCTACAGGAAAGGCAGGATAAATGTTGCTTTCTCTTTATTAGCAGTCTTCAAATTATTGAGTTTGCTACCTAGAACCCTCCAAAAATGACCAATTAAAAAAATCATTATAAAGTCACGGGTTTAAACATATTTGATGTACTTTAGTTCACTGTAGTCCATTGTAGTTATTATTCTTATGAATGTTTAAATTGTCCCATCTTTGGCAACATCACCTCCTTTTGATGTAGTCTTAAGAGATTTTGATAGTCTTTGAATTTCTGATATGACAAGATATCCAAGCACACCTTGTACATTTCCTTTTCCAGGCTGAGAACCAAACATTTCTTCAAGGTTTCTATTGATCGGAATGCCAATTAGAGACTATAGTCAGGGTGCTAGAGATGTTCATTGCTACTGGGTTGGTCCTTGTTTCTACAGCCTTCTAATGGAAAGGAATATATACACATATATTTAAAGATATCATCCTTTGTTTATACTAATACTTTCAATTCCAAATAGAGACTCTCAGTGTTTTATGTAACTTCATATATCTTACATCTGTTCTTTCTCCCAACCAAATATCTCAGTCCCCAAACACACCAACATCTGCTTTATCTCTCAGTACTGTCACAATTAATTGATTACGTATATCTCACTATGGATATACAGTCAAATTACTGTGGTTTAAAGTACGCGGGCCTCTCACTATTGTGGCCTCTCCCGCTGCGGAGCACAGGCTCCAGACGCGCAGGCTCAGTGGCCATGGCTCACGGGCCCAGCCGCTCCGCGGCATGTGGGATCTTCCCGGACCAGGGCACGAACCCGTGTCCCCTGCATCGGCAGGCGGACTCTCAACCACTGCGCCACCAGGGAAGCCCCTACCTAAATTATTTAGGCAGTTAAGGGAGATGTAAAAAGCTGTTCCCAAGCCTGCTGGATCCTGATTGCCTTCAGCTCAATGGTCCATATGCCAAAGTGGCACATTTTGGGGTGGGCTATTTTGCTCCCCTTCAAGTTGTTGGTTCTTTTCCCTCTGCTTTTAGAAGCTCTTTATACATTAAGTATGTTAGCCATTCGTATGTGATATGTTTGTCATTTTACTTTGCTTATGATAATGTTTTCTCTTGTAAAAGTTTTTGCTTTTAGATTTTTATGTGGTCAAATGTATCAATCTTTTCCCTCAATGGTAGCTGGACTTTCAGTCATAGCTATGAAAGTATTCTCCACTCCCAAGTAATAGCGAGATTCACTCATTCCGCCCCACCCCCCATACTTATATGGTTTCACTTAAAAAAAATTCTATATGGAATTTATCCTTTTGTATGATAAATGGACACAATTTTTTTGTTCATATAGAGTTTCAAATCTGATATTATTAGCTCCTTCCCCCAGCCTCCCTTCAGCTTGTCTTTTCCTGGACATTTTATTCTTTTCGAGGTTTTCCAAAACTGGACATGGATCAAAATAAACGTCTGTTCAACTCCCTGCATTTGTTTTCATTTTGCTGTCTGTTTTTCTTTCCTGGACTCTGTGATTTCTGCACAGTGTTTTTCCAGCAATTCAAGGAAGTTATGACCTTTCAGGCTTCAGGAAGAGTGGACTAAAGACCTGTCCAGTGAGTGATTCAAGCTGGAGCAGGTTGTGCAGACACCCAGGAGGGGCTCCTCTGCTTGGGGGTGGGGTAGAAAATGGCTTCATGGAGTGGGGGGTGGGTGGAGGGGTGCTTGCAGGTGTGAAGCACGTGGTAGCTCAGTTTTTTTTTTTTTTAAATTTATTTATTTATGGCTGTGTTGGGTCTTCATTTCTGTGCGAGGGCTTTCTCCTGTTGTGGCAAGCGGGGGCCACTCTTCATCGCGGTGCGCGGGCGTCTCATTATCGCGGCCTCTCTTGTTGCGGAGCACAGGCTCCAGACGCGCAGGCTCAGTAGTTGTGGCTCACGGGCCTCATTGCTCCGCGGCATGTGGGATCTTCCCAGACCGGGCTCGAACCCGTGTCCCCTGCATTGGCAGGCAGACTCTCAACCACTGCGCCACCAGGGAAGCCCGGTAGCTCAGTGTTTGTTGATGATCCATGTTTCTTGTTTCCACCATCTTTAGTCTTTTCTTTTCCACCTCCCTCGCTTCCTTACGTACTTTCAGACAGCTCCTTGCTTTCCCCCTACTTTTCTTTCCAACAGCTTCGTACCCCAACCATTCAGCATACAAGAGGGTGCAAACTGATGGACTGCTGCCTGAATATCTGCAGAAACATGTAATTTGCTAACAGAATGTTTATAAAAACTGTTGAATGCATTCCAAACATTTTTAAAATGGGAGATTGCACATAAAAATCCAGATTTCTAGATTTTCAAAATTCAGACTATCTGGTATCAAGGGGCCCACAGTCATTGCTGGTAACAATGGAGCTGGATGGTAGCTGTCCCTCTCAGGTCACTAGAGTCTACTCGGTCGGTGTCCCCTGGCTTCCCTAACACTGGGGAAATGTCAACTGGCATTTATTATTTAGCCTGAGCAGCTGTTTTTCCTCTAGTAGAAAAATTTTAGTCCCTACCCACATGTTTACTCCAAAGCTGGAAAACAAAGAAACAGCAAGAGCTTTGGTTTTCTCACCCCCAGCAATGCTATGATGTCATTCACATTTCCTGCTCCGACCCCGTGGGGGCTGAGTTTACAACTTTTGCTAGAGACAAAGGCTCAGGTCTCCCTCCCGCTTTCTCTCCCTCTCACCCCTTCTTTCTCCCTCCTCCCACCTTTTGTTCATATGAAGATTAGTATTTAATGAACTGCTGTAAGGTTAAATAACTTCAGGACCACTACTGAAACTGTTCCAATCCTCAGTCTTCAGAAACGGTCTGTGGAAAGTCATCGCATTTTTGCAATAGTATTTCGTGTGTGTAAGTAGAAGATGAGAGAAGTTACTTTATCAAGAATCTATCTGGCACAACACTGTAAATCAAGTATACTTCAATTAAAAAAAAAAAGAATCTATCACTTGTCTTGCTGTTTGTGTCATCAGCTAACAACCTATTCATATGGATGAAATCTGAGAAACTCACGGAGCCTGGCCAAACACAGCTTTCTTTTAGGGTCATTATCGGCTGGGGGATGGCATTCAGAGGGTAGTATTAGAAACCTGAAAAACAGTGACATAAACGAATTAAGGGTTCAATTTTTCTGCATTTAAAATAACTCTCAAGGTGAGAACAGGGCTCCTAATGGGAACCTGGCTCCCTCTAGCCTCCTGAGCCATCATCTATAGGGCTGACTCTGTCCTGCATCTAGTTCCTCATTTCTTAATTTATTTTCCTCCTTGACACTTACCACATTCTGACATACTATGTATCTATTTGTTTATGATCTGTAAGCTCCTTGAGCATAGGGGTCATTGTCTGTTTTCTTCACCCTGAAACCCCAGCATGGAGAATAGCATGTATTTGTTGAGTAAATGAATCAGTACTCTCAGGGTGACTGCTAGAACTCAGACTACCACGTTTATGTTTCTGGCAGGAAGAAGTGGGATAGTGAAGGAGAAAAGGGGACCCAAGACCAGAGAGTTGGCTTCAGAAAAGAACTCTTCTGCAAGTCCACTTAGTGACTTAGGCTGACACCCCCTTGGCCAGAACTGTGTCATGCCGTCACTCCTACCTGGACAGGACATTGAGAAAAAAAAATTTGTTTAAAGCAGAGGAATATGGATAAGCGAAATAAAACTGGAGTTCTGTTAGAAGGAGGAATGGGAGAATGCATATCAGGTCTCTGCAAGCTGCCCTCTCTGAATGCCTGGGGCTCCAGAGATCACGGGGCTCTTCACCGTGACCCTAGGCCCTGGACTTTCTACTTTATTTACTCTTATGAGTAACATCAGCTTCCTTGAACTTCACCACACTGTGATTCCTTAATTCTATACTTACTGATTATTTGTTGGGTTTCTAAGACGTAATTACACATAATTCCAGGAACTGTGAGTAGTAAGAACCCCCTCCCCCAAATCTGTCAACTATTCTATTTTTTAGGCACCATTATTCTTACTGAAACATTCAGTGGCTTAAGCTCTACCCTACAGGTCCCTGACTGCATATGTGCGCACAAGTGCGCATGTGTGCCTGTGTGTGTACATGAACCTGTGTCCACACATCACAAAAAAGAAGAGGGTGGCAGCCTCTCCACACCCCTTCCTCCTCCCTTCCGAGGCTGCCAATGTCTGGAACTGAAAATGCTTTCATGTGTAGAATGCAGGCTTATGTACCCCAACAGGTAACTGGAGGAGCAGGGAGAGTTGGCGCCTAGGGCCCTGCCTATGAGCTCACAAAGGTGATGAGGAGGGCTGAATTCCAGTTTGTGCTCAGCTCCCTTGGCCTCTCACCACAGCATAGTGCAAGGGCTGTTTGCCCAGAGGAAGGGGACTTTTTTTTCTAGTTTATGAAAAATGTGCTCTTCGTTGCCAAGCATGTATGCTTATCATCTGCTTGTGCCCAGAGGACGTGCCTTTTCCTATTTAATTCACTCAGAGGAGGAGTCTTTAAAATGCACCCAAAGGCTCCCTGTGGGCTGGCTTCAGCATCCTCTCCTGTATGGAGGTCAGTAGATTTCGCCCCTGCTTATTCTGAAAGCCAGAGATCTGTGACCACTGCCGTCCCCCACTTCCTTCTTTCCTCCATCTAGTCAATGTCGGACTACTGAATGAAAGTAATCTGAAGACAGACACATTCTATTCTCTTCAGACCAACACCTTCTATTAAAAAACCAGCTCCCCGTGTGCTGCCGTGAGTGAGATCCAGCCGAGCTCACATGCGGTACAGCCTATGCTGTGCTCCACTGAGTGGTGAGGAATATCCCAGCCTAGTTCACACTCATTTCCAAGTCACCTCTGCAGGTGTCTGACCTCAGCCTCCCTCATCTCAGTTCTATTTTAGAGAGTGGCATCTTCTGATGCTAGCACCAAACTGGGATGAGCTGTTTCTGGAGCCCCTGTGTACTAGCCACAACTTCCAACTTGGAGAACCTGTGAATGTATGAAATAATCTGATCGTAAAATGCTCAATAAATAAGGAAAGTACAGAATAGTTATAGAGCAGACTGGTTTTTAAAAAGTGACAGGTTAACCTGCGTATCAAATTAAGTCTCATAGAGAAGCTCGCTGTATAACAAAAACGTGAAGGTGGAGCTTCTCTGGGTGAAGAGGGTGAAGGAGATGAGCCCTCCCCACAGTGCATCCACCCAGATACTCGTAAGAGCCCCTCAGGTGCCTCTGTGGTTCTCCAAGGATCTGTTGAGCATGATTTGCAAATGTATAGGTAGTGGAAAGGACCCAGGCTTGGACTTAGGAAATGGCATGAGTTCTTGTTTTGTGGCCTAGGGCAAGTGAAACAGCCCAGTCTCTCATGTCAGCCTCATGTGACCCACGGGAACAGAACAAGTCATGCAGGAGCCCGAAGTTCAAATGGAGAATTACTCAGAAATGCCTCCTCCTCGTCTAGGTCTACTCGGAACGTCCTTTCTCAGCGGCCTCCTCCATCTCATCATCTGGCCGTGGATCTCGACATACTCTGGGAGGCAGAGCTGATTGCGCTTCAAACTCCATTATCCCCCTCTCCTCCAGCAATGGAACCTCAATCTGGTCTGGGCATCTGTCCTGTGGGAGTCTGATGACAACTCGAGTTGATCCCTGATGATTAGGCTGTCCGTTTAGTTGCATCTGTATATACTCTGGCGCTTGTGGGGTATGGAGTCCGAGGTAACGGGTGCCCAAGAATCTGCTGTGGGTTTTTGAAGCTGAGGAGGTGGGAGGAGGGGACGTGAGAGCGATTATGGGAAGAGGGAACTGAGAAAAGTAAGAACATTCAGTGCTTGTTTTGTGCTTCTGTACACTTTTGACCCTGGGGAATTTTAAAGGACTTTTTCTAACATTTATCTTAGACGGATGGAGTCATTTGATAAGTATCCCAGGCACTGTGTAGGGGTTGGGAATAAACAGTAAATGCTACGGAGTTCCAGCCTTCAGGGAGTTTTTTTGTTTGTTTCCGTTTTTAATTTCGTTTTATTTGGCCGCACTGCGCAGCATTTGGGATCTTGGTTCCCCGACCAGGGATCGAACCTGGGCCCCAGCAGTGAAAGCACCGAGTCCTAATCACTAGACCGCAGGGAATTCCCCTTCAAGGAGCTTTCTAAGTTTGTTTTTTAACCCCACAAGGACAAGGTGGAAAACCCAGGAAGGTGTTTTGACTGAGGCCCTAGAACACCCAATGCCCAGATGTGTGGACAGAGACACAACATCCAGCAAAAGCAGAATTCCTTTAGAACTCTGCTGATTGGGAGGAATTAGTCAAAATGGCAAACCTGCAGCGTAACATCCTGGCTCATTTCTTTCTTTTTCTTTTTTTTTTTTTAATTTTAGCTGCGCCACACGGTTTGCGGGATCTCAGATCCCTGACCAGGGATTGAACCTGGGCCATAGCAGTGAAAGCACCAGATCCTAACTGCTAGACCACCAGGGAACTCCCATTGGCTCATTTCTTATACAAAGGAAAACACAGAGGGTTTGCTGAAGACAGGAGGAGAAAGCAGCTTATTGGGAACAATGTTGCAAAAATGTAAATTGCTCCCTGGCAATTGCTAAGATCTTGATGACCTGATAAAATGGTGTATAAGGCAGAGCAAACACACCCTTGTGATGAAGCCAGAAATTTCATCCACAGTGAAGGATGCTACCAGAGGCAGTGCCAGTGTGGGTTGGGGAGGATCAAGATTGTTACCATGTATAAACAACAAGGTCCTACTGTATAACACAGGGAACTATATTCAATATCCTGTGATAAACCATAATGGAAAAGAATAAAAAAAGAATGTCTCTATGTGTATAACTGAGTCACTTTACTGTACAGCAGAGACTGCCACAACATTGTAAATCAACTATACTTCAACAACAACAACAACAAAAGACTGTTACTGAGTCCAAGCTCCTACTGCTTGCTGCACAACAGGCTAAGAAATCGAGAGATGAGTTGCTGGGGCAAGGAATAGCGACTTTATAAAAAAAGCCAGGGGCTTCCCGGGTGGCGCAGTGGTTGAGAGTCCGCCTGCCGATGCAGGGGACACGGGTTCGTGCCCCGGTCCGCGAAGATCCCACATGCCGCGGAGCGGCTGGGCCCGTGAGCCATGGCCGCTGAGCCTGCGCGTCAGGAGCCTGTGCTCCGCAAAGGGAGAGGCCACAACAGTGAGAGGCCTGCGTACCACACACACACAAAAAAAGAAAGCCAGCAGACCGAGAAGATGGCGGACTGGTGTCCCAAAGAACCACCTTACCAGAATTAGAATTCAGGCTTCTTTTATACTAAAAGGGGAGGGAGTTAAGTCCTGGTTCCAGCCAGACTTGGGGGGTGGAGTGGGGGGTAGGGAGGGTGGGGATGTGTTAACTTGTCCTTCCTGTAGCCCTTCACAGGTGGATCAGATCAGGATGTTTCCTATGAGCTAAACAAAGGTATTTTAAGGTATTTTAGCTTACCTGGGAGGCAGAGTTCCCAGAGATGGGCCATTGTGTATAATTTAAGCTCGTAGGCATAATTTAAGCTCGTAGGCAACATCCCTTTAGTGATTAACTTGTAAGAGAATACAAAGGTTCTTTCCTATTACAAGATTGGTGTCTGGAAAAATAGCTGGGAGGCTACTGAAACTGTCCCAGTGAGTGGTGATGAACGTTTGAATGAAGACAGCTGCCAAGGGCATGTGGGGACAGATAGGAGACAGATTTCCAGGCAGGAAGGACTGATGTAAGGGTGAAGGAGTGGAAGATGACTCTGGAGAGAATACCTAAGGCCTGTGTCCTTTCCTCACATACCATGTTGCCTTCCCATGGAATGGGGACCCCACCTCAGTCCAACTCTTCCACTTTATAACAAAATGAGGACTTTAAAACCCAGGAAATGGGGACTTCCCTGGTGGCGCAGTTGTTAAGAATCCACCTGCCAATGCAGGGGACATGTGTTCGATCCCTGGTCTGGGAAGATCCCACATGCCGCGGAGCAACTAAGCCCGTGTGCCACAACTACTGAGCCTGTGCTCTAGAGCCCATGAGCCACAACTACTAAGCCCGCGTGCCACAACTACTAAAGCCCGAGTGCCTAGAGTCCACGCTCCACAGCAAAGAGAAGCCACCTCGACGAGAAGCCCACTCGCGGCAACTAGAGAAAACCCACGCACAGCAACGAAGACCCAACGCAGCCAAAAATAAAAGAATTAAATAATTAATTAATTATTTAAAAACCCAGGAAATGGAAACCCTCATCTATGGCTGAACTGAAAGTTGGGGGAGGAGCCCAAGTAGAAGCCAAGTCTTCCTTTCCTGATCCTACCCCTTCCACAGGTGCACATTAGAGCCAGCCAGGTCCTTTCCACACACCTGTGCCTAGGCCACACCCCCTCCAGTGAATCAGAATCCCAGGGCTGGGACCATGAGCTATTCCAGGGCAGGGCACAAGTTTCTCTTCCTGCTGTGACCATGATAGCACGTTCTGCCTGGACCACACTTTTTCTCTGATTCATAACTGCATTACATAATTGCAATACATTACGTATTACTACCGATAATTGGAGAGGTGCTGAGTGCTTGGATAGAGAACTGTATGCAAACAAAATCCTTCATAGGCCCATTAGTGGTAATAAACTAGAACTAATTTGTAAACATCTCATTGCAACTGCAGGAGAGGGAAGACTTTGGAGGCTGCTCTCCAGTAAAAAAGGGTTAATGGACAATCAATCATTGTTCAGTCAGCAGTTACCAATCTATGTTTTGTAAAATTGATCATCTCTTTATGAGTTTATTTTAGTAAAAATAAAGAATATTTTTATAAATTTATTTATTTTTGGCTGCATTGGCTCTTCATTGTTGTGCACGGGCTTTCTCTTGTTGCGGAGCACAGGCTCTAGGTGCACGGGCTTCAGTAGCTGTAGTTCGCGGGCTCCAGAGCTCAGGCTCAGCACTTGTGGCACACGGGCCCAGATGCTCCGCGGCATGTGGGATCCTCCGGGACCAGGGCTCGAACCCGTGTCCCCTGCATTAGTAGGCAGATTCCCAACCACTGCGCCACCAGGGAAGTCCCAAGAATATTTTTAAAAAACAAAATCTTAAAATTAAAAAAAAATTGTGGTAAAATACACATAACATGAAATTTACCATCTTTACTATTTTTAAGTGTACAGTTCAGTAGTGTTAAGCACGTTCACATTGCTGTGTGACCATCACCACCATGCATCTCCAGAACTCTTTTCATCTTGCATGACTGAAGCTCTGTACCCATGAAACAACTCCCCATTCCCACTACCCCTAGCCCCTGGCAATCACCATCCTACTTTCTGTCTCTACAAATTTGCCTACTTCTTAGAGGTGGAATCTTACAGTATTTGTCTTTTTGTGGCAGCTTATTTCACAGAACGTAATATCCTCAAGGTTCATCCATGTTGTAGCATGTATTAGAATTTTGTTTTCTTTTAAGGCTGAATAATATTTCATTGTATATGTAGAGACCATGTTTTGTTTACTCATTCGTTCATTGATAGACACTTGGGTTGCTTTCACCTTTTAGCTATTGTGAATTGTGCTGCTATGAACATGGGTGTATAAATATCTCTTTGAAATTCTGCTTTCAGTTATTTTGGGTATATCCCCAAAAGTGGAATTGCTGGATCATATGGTAATTCTGTTTTTAATTTGTTAAGGAACCACCACACTCTTTTGCTCCACTACTTTACATTCCCACCAACAGCGCACAAGCGTTCTAATTGCTTCATATCCTCACCAACACTTATTTTCTGTTCTGATAGTAGCCATCCTAATGGTGAGGTGACATAAAACCTTTCTAAAACACAGGTTTGCTAATGATTTTGATCTCCCAAACCCTTAACTTTTCATAAAGTCCTAAGTTCCTTAATCACAATATTTTCATTCATGAATATTTTTAGGAAATGACCCCCCCCGGCTAGAGAAGGAATACTGTATAGTCATTTTATCAGTCTTTACTAACTAGAAAGGTAAAAATTTTAATTTATTTTAATTTTCTTTCATTATTAGTGAAGTTGAACTTTTCACTATAATTGTTAATTAGTTATAGATTCTCTGCTGTGAATTGTGTCTGAATTTCTTACATGGTACAATATAAAAATAGAAATAACTATTGAGTGCTTTCTATGTGCCAGCTAGTGTTCTAAGAGTTTTACATGTAGTAACTCAGTTAATCCTGACCCACCACCATGAGGCAGGTGCAATGATTAGTCTCATTTTATGGAGGAAACAGAAACACGGAGAGGTCAGTGAACTTATCCAAGGTCCTACCCAGGAAGTCTGGATTCAGAGCCTGTGCCCTTAAATACAAAATGGCCAATATTTTCCTAACCTATTTGATTTGTTTTCTATTAACTATAAAATTTTAAAAACATTTATCAGTCTGCTCCTTTCTTTTGTTGGCACTTTTTTTTTTTTTGGCCATGCCGCGTGGCTTGTGGGATTCCCCGACCAGGAATTGAACCTGTACCCTTTGCAATGAAAGCGCAGAGTCCTAACCACTGGATCGCCAGGGAATTCCCGGCACTTTTTTTTTTTTCTTTCAGCCAGGCTAGAACATCCTGTCCTTTTCAGATAATAGAAAAACAAAAATTTTTAATATATGTTTTACATATGTATGTATTTTCCAAACATTTATCTCAAACTATTTATTGAATTATATTTTTTGTCCCATTGTTTTGTGATGGTATCTTTCTACTGGTCTTTATTTCCTAACTGCTTGTTTTTTTAATGAACATTATATGTTCAATCATCGCTCTGAGGATGCTGAAGTCTCTTTCTGGTTTTCACATTCTTTTCACTTCACCTGGCATGAATCTGTCTCTGGAGAGTTGATGTTGCTGACTCCCTTCCTCAGTGTTAGTTTTTGTGTATTTTGGAATTTTAGTTTCCAGGTCATTTCCAGGTTTTCTATCTCTCTTCTCTGGTTCCTCACTCCTCCCTGTCCAGTGACTGAGCAGTTGCCCTCCTCGGAGCCCTGTCCAGAGTGAGGTCTTATATGGCAGCCAGGGCCCCTGCCCTGGCCTGACCCTGAGGATGACTCAGGTCCAGCCCCATGACAGAAGAGGCTGGGTTAAGGTCATGTGTTGTGCCGTTTGCTCCATAGGCCACAGTCCCAGGCAAAGTCAGCAGCAATTTATTTCAATCTATTTTCTTGAAGAAGGTGGGGAGAGGCCAGTCACAGCTCCTGGATTTTTTACCTGAATTGATGACTCTGTTCCCCCACCTCAAGCGGGCAATTCAATTCTTTCTCATCATTCAACAGGACTTGAATTAGCAGCTGCCTTTGACTGTATCCAGACTCCAAAAGGCCACAGCATCAGCCCTGTTCATCTTTTGCATTTATATTCAATTTTTGGGAATATCCATGGGGATATTCTCCACTTGTTGAATATGGATTTTGTATTTTCTCTAATAGTTTATCCACCATTGCTTTGTACGGGAAGCCTCAGGCTGTCTATTCTGTTTCACTCGTGTGCCTGTGTCTTTATGTACAAGCATTCATTGTAGCTCTCTGCTATGAGTTAGGAAGCCATTCTCACAAGTTCCTCCAATCACGTCCTGATAGATTTCTTGAGGCTGGATCAGGTAGGAGGCTCTACAGCCATTACCTGAGATGAGAGTGGAGGAAGTGCTACTGTCCCCCACCCAATGTGAGGGCGCATCAGAGGAGCCCTGGGGTAGCTGCTCTGGAACAGGAGGAAGGTTTCTCTTTGAGAGCTCCATGCCACCATGTCATCAGGGGTCTCAAGCCAGGGTAGATCCAGTACCAGGGAGTATATGAGAGCAAACAT